AGGAATATCCCAGGAAAGCTTCCAGTATCTTCCAGGGACATACAAGTCCTGGACAAGATGTGGCTTAGCATCTTTCAGTATTTAGCATGAACACCCATAAGACAGGACCATGCTCACAAAGGGGAAATGTGGTCCAGTGGAAAGTGGGGTGCCTCACAGTATCTCACACACGCCTCCCTCTGCTCTGTACCTGCAGTTTAGATGTGGTCGTACACTTGAGGAAGATGTGTTAAAAGTAATGCAGTCCACTGAAAAGCAAAGATAAACCAGCTTAGCTGGAACCAGAATGTCTGCTGAGTCTGTGAGGTTGACAGCATCTGGCAACAGGCTTCTCTATCTGACTCTACTCCTGGACAATGAGTAGAGCCACAGGTACACCCTCAAACCCCAACCCCACCCCACGACCATGACACTGGCATCAAAAGAATCAGGGCAGGTGCTTTGCGGGATTCCTTCCTTTTCTGGGACCTCTCTTCAGGTGAGTAAGGTGCAGAGAGGGACAGATGTTTTGATCCATGCTTTTTGGTGTGTGTGTGTGTGTGTGTGTGTGTGTGTGTGTGTGTGTGTGTGTGTGTAGGTGTCACTCAAGTCCCTCCTGAGAGGAGATTCTGGCTGCCTAGGTTTGGATAATGCCTGAACAGAGCCCAACCCAGCGGGCTGCTAGAAGCAGCTGTGCACTAGAACTGTTGTGGTGACAGTCTGACTCCTGGTCTGCAGCCCAAGGCCAGAGATCCTTTTGCTGGAAGAAAAAGCGATTTGTTCACATTGCACCTTTTCTAAGGTTAAGCGGCACCTGGGAAGGTGGCTTCCTCTCTCTCTCTCTTTGGGTCTCCCTCCTCTACCCCCTTTCCCTATTGACCTCTGCCTCCTCCAGTTCCTACTGTCTCCTGTCCTTCCTCCTTCCGCTTCTTCTCTTTCTCAGATCTTCTTCCACACAGTCCCTCCTTCTGGTTCATTGTTCAGTCTTCCAGCTGAGCTTTGGGCTAGGGTCATTTAAAAGGTCACCCTGCCTCTTCTCAGTCCTTGATCCTTGCTGACTGTCCCTTGGCGGCACCAGTGGGAACAATGGCCAGGACAGCATGGCATGGAGGGAGGCAGCTGGCTCCAGAGGACAGGTTTACTGCTCTGGGGAGACAGGGAAGCCACTAATCCTACTGGAAAAGAAGAGAGCTACTTGGGCTCTCGAAAAGGGGAGAATGAGGGGACACCCCTGCCTCGGCCACTCCAAGTGAAAGGCTGAGGTCTTGGAATAGCTTGGAGCTTCTCTTTGCTATTGTTCGCCATCCCTGTACTCTGCTGGAGGCCTGAAGCAGGGAAACCACCCTGGGCTGCTGAGGACCGGTAGGAGGCAATTTAGCCTCTCTTCATTAGCTGTTTGTCGACCTACCATAGGAGACATTTTCCCTACTTCCTGGTGGACCCGGAGCCTTGCTAAGAGGAGGGAGAGCTGAGCCTCCCCTGCTCTTGGGGTGGGAGAAGTGGGGGGAGGGCCCCGTGCTGTCTGCTCCGCCACAGCTCTCGCGGAGAAGTAGGTGGCATAAATCGCATGCATAATCTCAGGAGACGACCACTTTAAATCTTAATTGGTTGCCTTTTAAATATCATTTAAGGGCCGGTTTCTCTGCCTTTCTCTAGTTAAGAAGGTGTCGTGTCAAACTCTATTACCTTGCAGGATGTCTTTCCCTTAAGGTGGTTTGTCTTTCTTTCTTTCTTTCTTTCTTTCTTTCTTTCTTTCTTTCTTTCTTTCTTTCTTTCTTTCTTTCTTTCTTTCTTTCTTTCTTTCTTTCTTTCTTTCTTTTTTCAAGGAAAGGTAGAGAAAAAGAAAAAAAAATGGAGCCATCAGCCGCGTTTGAGGGGTCGATAAAGCTTTTAGATTTGGAGACGGTTTCCGGAGCCAGTTTCCTGCGGCTACGTGTTGTTAATGGAGCTTAAGGAATTATCTTAGACTGGGCCGACCCGGGAGCCGTATATTTCTCGCGCCTGTTCCCTTGTCGAGTCTGAATATGCTGCTGTCAGACTCGCTTAATGAAAAGTAACGCGCCGCTGATTACAGTTTTATTTGGCTCTATGTAAAGAGCGCCGTTAATTTAGCCTCTCCTCTCGGTGTGTTTGCGATCGCCACGCCTGAGCGGCTGAGCGCGTCCCTGCGCTGCCTCCTCGCGCGGGCGCCCCGGGCCGGCTGACAGCCTCCCGCAGGGGAAGTCGCGGCTCGAAACCCTCCCCCGCCGCGCCCCGCTGGGGCACCGAGACCTTTCCCCTTCCCGGAGCCCTCATCCTGCCAAGGCGCCTCGCTTCATCGGGGGAGTCACGCTGGCACTTGACCCCTGCCCCTAAGGTTCGGTGAGCTGAAAAGCACATCCTGCAGGCTCCCCCTCCCGCCCCAGGAAGAGGTGTCTTCGGGTGGGTGTTCGCCACTGCGGGGCCGCCTGGAGTGTAGCTGAGGCCCGTCTCCCTTGATATCTTTATTCATAGGGTAAGCGCAGTTTATTCAAATAAGCTCCTTTAAGTCGCTAGAGCCAACTCGGGCTCTAGCTACTTGCTCTTTGGACGCTCAGAGCTGGTGCAGATGCCAGAGACCATGCCCGGAGGTTCCGAGCTCAGCAAGCTTGGGCGAGTGCAGAATCAGCCTTCTCCCCGAGCGGCGCAGAGGAGGAATCTGGGGGCCAAGGCGGTGTGTGCGCACCGACCAGAGCCTCCTCCGGTATCTGCGCCCAGGGCAAATCTGTCCTCAGTCAGGATACAAGCTTAGGTTCAAGCTTGATTTCCGGCTTCCCTCTTTTTAGCTCACCTATCCTCGCCTGGATCTGTGAAGCCCTTTTTTTTTTCTTTCTGAAAATGCTTGGCTTTGTCTAGGGTTGTGTGGGGGCTCGCTTGGCGGCCGCATTAAAATTCCTCGCGCCCCAGCTTGGGCAGCAACGTGTCTCCCCTGAGACTCCACTTTCGCTATTACTGTCAAGTACCCTTGACTCTTTATTTTTGCCCTTTTATCTATTACAACTAATTCGAGTTCTTTTGCCCTTTTCAGTCTAAGACGTGGGCTTTCCGCAAAGCCTCCCCTGCCAGCGCTCTCTCAAAGCGCGGAGCCTTTAGAAATTGAGGGGTTTACTGTCAAAATGAAAATTTCACTTCAAATTATCTTGGCTGATGCTCGCTCGCTAGGCCGGGGGCTCCCGCCACAGCCTTTTGACAGGCACATCAGCGGCAAGCTTCCGCGTCCCGATAATATCATCCAGGAGAGCGAAAGTCAATGCGGTGACAGCGCAGGCCGGGACAATCCAATTACTGAGTGCTGGCCAGGGCAGGCCTGCGGCTTGCGGGGCAGTTGGCCACTCAATGTGCAAGGGCCAAGGGCTGGAAACCAGGATCCAGGGTGAGGAACATCACTCAGGGGACCCTTTCAGTCCTAGGGGTCTGGTTCCAGCAAGGCTAAGTTTCTTCCCGTGGCATCCGTAAACTGTCCCCAAAGCTGGCCCTACAGGCTCATTAGTGTGACTTTCACTAGGCTTCAGGCTAGTCCCACCCCTGTGATTGCAGAGGAAAGACCTGGCATCTATCAAAGGTCTGGTTTCTCTTCGATGAAAAGTGGTGTGTCTAGCATACACAGCTGGAGTCTACGTGGCTATTAGAATTTATTCTAATAGCCCCTTAATGTCATAGCAACTTGCCCGGGTTTTCTGCTTTACAGGTCCCTCTGCCTGCCACTCCCACCTTCCCAGGAACATTAAGGGCTTTTACGAAGTTTAGAAAGGCCTGAACAGAGGATGAGCAGAGAGCCAGGAATGGATGTTGGGCAGGTGCCTTCTGGAACCACAAAGGAAGGACCTGTGTCCAAGGCGGCTTCCACTGGTGACTGCGCTGAGATGGGTGTGAAGAACCAGGCCTGCCCTTAACCTAGGCTGCTTCTGACACAAGCCCTGTGTCCTTGCCCCATGTCTTTTTTGCCCTGCCTCCTGACTTCTGCTACGAAGTCAGTCTCTCCAGTCTTCAGAACTTGAGCGACACAGAAGCTAAATTTGAAGCAACAGGGCCCAGGCTGCATCTCTTAAAAGAGGGACTCGGGTGTCACGTAACAGGCAACTGTTAAGAGCCTCTTGGCTCCGGGAATGATGCCCTCAGGGCAATGACCCCCTCTCCAGGGGATTTAGAAAGCCTAAACATTCATTTATTTTGGTCAAAGAAACCGCATTTCCTCAAAATTCTGGTGTTTGGCAGTGGGGAAGAGTTGAACGTTTGGGCTCTCACACCTACTTACTATGAGTTGGGAAGAGCCCTTCCTGCATCTTTAACATCTCAGAACGGTTTGTTAGACTTAGATTGGCAACTGCTCTATTGTGTGGAGTCTGGGTCAGCCCGCCCATTCTTCCTCCCCCTGGGGGTCAGACACACCTGTGGACCCCCAGCTGTGAAATGTGCTCCTTCTGCAATGCAAACACAAGGATTTATTAGTTTTGTTGTATCAGCCTCTCTCTGAAACAGGCAATTACTGGTGTGAGCATACATTTTAGAAAACATAATTTTGTCGAGTCGAGAGTGTGCAGCAGTGTAAACTCGGTGGGAGTGTCGTTGGTGAGCTTTATGTGCTGAGGATGAAGTCCGAAGGAAAACAGGCTGAGGAGTCTTTTTAACGAACACCAGCATGCCTCAAACCCAGAAGGAGACAGCGACACAAAACAAGCCTCAGAACCCAAATGCCTTCTCCGTGTAAACTTTGGATGTAAACTTTGCGCTTCAGCGGGGCCCCCCTCTGCTGTGGGAGCGGTCTCCTGTCTGTTTGGTGGTCAGGGGTGGCTCAAGTGGACGCAAGATCGGGTGAAGCCTGGTGATAGAACGCAAGGGGATTCCTTCATATCCCTGGCTCCTGAGTTCAGATCCTCTGTCTCAGGTGGGTTGGAATTCTTGGCTTGGAATTGCCCCCTTCTTTTGGAAACTCATTAAAAATGGTCCATTGTCAGCGCCTGCAACCCGAGCGCCAGTTCCCTTCTCCACCGTGTGGGTGGGTGTTAAGTGCAGAAGGGTTTGCCACCGGCCTTGGGCGTAGCCAGCAGCTCCCGGGAGGCCCCCGCGGGTGGGACGTCTTGGGGCACCGTGGGCGGAAAGGAGCAAGCCAGGGGCGTCGTCAGTACGTTGGTGCCCGCCCCCAGTGAGCGTCCTAGAGGGCCAGGATCCAGAAGTGCGCCCTTAGCGGTGGCCCAGGCCTGGTTCAAAGTGCTGTGCCTAAGGATGGGGTCGTGAAATACCCCATCCACCCAGTTTCTGAGACTAGTTACTGGGGAGTCCTGGTGCCTATCCAGGGCCACAGAAGGGACTGCAGGCGAAGATGCCGGCGGCGCCGTGGATGCACCCGCCGGACCTTGGCGTTTCAGCATGCAGGAGGGAAACTCAGTCTGGCTCAGAGCTGTGGCTGCAGCCGCGGTGGCTGTGTGCGCCAAGGACCAGATACGGGGCTTGGTCTCCAGGGTCGGCGGCGCCACCGCCGGAGCAAAGCTCAGTTTGGCTTCGCAGGACTGTGGGCCGCCATCGGCGCCAGAGTCTGGCGCAACCACTGTGCTCTGGAGGCAGTTCCGTGCCCTCTCCAGGTCCTCATCCATGGCAGCTCCACCAGCGGTGCCCAGGGGCATCCGGAGCGTGGCGGAGGCCTCCTTGCCTGTGCTGGGGCCGTCAGATGAAGCAGAAATCCTCTCTGGTCCGCTGTCGAGGGGCTGAAAGGGCGTCTTCAGATCGCACTCTGAGGTCTCTGCGCCTAGAGGGTCGAAGTCTTCCAGGTCACTGAGTTCTAGCTCCTTGTCCTCTTTGCCAATGGCACCTGTCAAGCGAGAACACGTGGCCAGTGGAAGGAGACTGGATGGCTTAACTAGCTTTCCTTTATCCTAAGACCAGAGTTAAAGTGACCCCATGCCCAACTGGTTAATAGCTCAGGTCTTTCTCTGTCCTTCCATCTCCAGAGGCCTGCGAGTTTTGAAGTGGGCAGATCTGGACTCAAGTTAATGGCATAAGAGATGCTTTTTAACTTGACTTTGGATGTCTTTTAGCATGTTCACAGGGTACCAACTCAGTCTCCCTTCCCCAGGTACAAGATCTCACTGGAAACTAGTTCATTCATTTGATGCCCAGGCACTAAAGCTTTCCATTTGCCCCTCCCCCAGCCCCGACAGCTCCTAGAAACTCTCCACACGCTGCAGAATCTCCAACCCACCTTCACTCTTGGCGCTCTTAAGAGGCTCCTCCCGCGACTCCTCCTCACCGGCCTCCTCCTCCTCGCCCTCCCCGTAGGGCCTCTGCTTCTCATCTGCGCACTTATTTCGAGGTGGCCAGGTCATCTTGTTCTCCTTCTTGAGGCGCCTGCGCGCGTTGGCGAACCAGGTGGAGACCTGCGTGAGGGTCATCTTGGTGATGATGGCCAGCATGATCTTCTCTCCCTTGGTGGGGTACGGGTTCTTGCGGTGCTCCTGCAGCCAGGCCTTCAGCGTGCTGGTGGTCTCCCGGGTGGCGTTCTTGCGCCGAGTGCCGCTGTCCACGGTCCCGTACCTGGAGACAGGCTCTGCAATGGGGTGCCAGTCGGGCCCGGGGAGATCGCAGGGAACGAGCAAGTGTGGGGAGCATAGGGACATGCCATGCCTCTCTGGGGTGGGTTGCACTTTTGTGGGCCAAGGGTGAGGATAATGTCATTAAAATGACAGGGAGGTCATGGCCTCTGTCATTCTGTAGAGACATTTCTTTGATCTTTTATGGGGATTCTATCTTACCACTTTGATCCAAAAACCATAAAAAGGTACCACAAATCTATGACCATAAAAAGGTACCACAAATCTATGAATCTGTGATCCTGTGCCCAGAGACAAAGGTGGGGAGTAGCAGCTGGGAACCAAAGTTGGGGCTTTTAGTTGAACTGGTATGGTACCATAAGAAGATGAAGTGGTGAGCTGTCCCCAGAAAAGGTTCTGAGGGCCAAGGGGTTTCCTCTTTTGCTTCCCACTGTAGGGCTGGTAGCCCTGGCTCAGGCACTCAACTGAGTTGAGTTTCTTGGAGTTCAGGGAGATGTTCCAGGCTCTTGAAGGAATCAGCCTAGTGGACTGAACTTTCTAGAATCAATTTGCTTGAAAAATCACAGCAGTGGGAGAATTTCCACATTCCCAACAACATGAGGAGTGTGGAAGGGTAGAACGGACCACTTGCCTGAGGGAATCACTCCTTCCTCTGGTCTACCCACCCCCAGGAGGGGCCTGGTGGTGGTGATGAGGTGGGGTCCTGGGTGGCTGGTACTGTAGTGTTAGTGGGAGAGGGAGGTACGATCCCTCACCTGTCATAGGGGTACTGGCCCAGAGCTGGCTCATAAGGATAGTAGGCTGCAGCTGCGGCTGCGGGTGCTAGGCCGGCGTGTGAAGATCCTGTGCCATCCTTGGACTCGAAGCTGTTCTGTAAAGCCAAAGCGTTTGAGGCCACGACTTGTGGGTATCCAGATAGAAGCCCTTCCTTAAGCCCTCTTAGCTTAGCTTAGATCCCTGAGTCTCCCCAAACTTCCCCAAGGACCATAAGACTCCAACTCATCTCCTGATCTCACTCAGTACTCAGCTCCCGAAGTGTCAAGGGGGGCTCTGAATTGCTGGCCAGACTTCAGGTAGGGAAGCAGGTGAAGGTGAAGTGAGATGGGGCGAGAAAAAGAAAAGAGAGGAGGAGAAGGGAGATCTCGAAGGAGCCTGGAAGGAGAGAAAGAGGATGGACTAGAAGGGTTCCTAAGAGGCTGCCAGGCCTAGGGATAATGAGCCCGGTGGAGAAGAGGCTTTGGGCAAGAGGGAGGGGCGCGGAGGGGGCGGGGGGGGGCGGAGAGGGGAGGAGCTAGGATGTGAAGTTCGGAGAGGAGGGAGGGGAAAAGAGGGAGGGAGAGGAGAAGGCAGAGGGTGTCTGAAGCTGAGAGGAACCCCTCTGAGAAGCAGGGAACCTGATCAGAATTCAGTGGCAAACTAAACCGGCAGCAACAGCCTAGACATCCGAGCACGGCTCGCAGGTCGGCCACCCTGAGTCTGAACAGGGCTAGGGGTGCAGTGGGGCGTAGGGCCAGGAGGCACATATGAAGTTCTTTTCCTCTCAGCCCAACCAGTAGGGTATCCAGGGCACTCGCTCTTGGGGTGGCAAATCCAGGGGTCGGGTCGGAGCACTGTGCGGTGGGAGGGACTTGGTCCTCTCACCAGCGAGTAGAAAGCAGACGCCTCAGAGCCGTAGGTCACGTAGTTGCCGTAACCCTGCGAGCCGCCGTAGGGGCTTCCATAGACGCCGAGCGCGGCGGCTGAATTGAGTTCGTGGCGGGCAGTGGCCAGCAGCCGGCTCTCGTAGACAGGGCAGTAGACCGGCGCCTGTGCTGAGGCTGCAGGCCCGGAGTCAGCCAGTGTGCGGCCGCCCGACTCGCAGCACGTGCTCAGGGAGTTGGTGGTCATCAGGAACTGGGGGAGAGAGGGACCGCAAAGAATGGGCACCCGGACAGAGGCTAGGACGCTGGACCCTCAAGGGCCTCACGTGTCCCTAGGGCCTCCTGTTGTCTAAGCCAGATATGAGCTCCTCCCTCCCCCTATCAGCCAGCCTAGGCCTTGCTTTCTTTGGCCACATGGGGCCCAGCCAGCTGTTTAAATCCTCCATGGGGTTCCAAGGCCCTGTGTATGTTCTCACCAAGTACGTCTGGCTCAAGTGCTTCTTAGGATCCCCCAGGGCACAGTTTGATGGGTTAAACAAGAGGGAATCCAGACCCAGCAACAGGATTTTACTAGTGGCCCTAAGTCCTCCTCCCCCTAGGCAGTGTTTGGCCAGTACAGTCAGGCAAGGATCCTGCTCTCTGCAAAATGGCACCAATTGGTGGCCCCTCCCTCTCCTGCTCCCGCTGACCAGCTCTTGCAGGTGTCCCTTTACCTGGGGAGTAGAGGAATAGGGGTATCCAAACTGGGGATAGGACATGGCGCGGCCTGAGAAGGTTGGAGGGCCGTTGGGGTCCTGTGCGCGGTGTGGCCACTGCTCCGGGGCTGCAGGCTCTAAGAGAGCAAGGCAAGAGGTGGTCAGATCCCCCACATGCTGCTCAAACTTTCTTTTAGCTTCGAAGCCTGAACACTCCAGGGAGCTCTGGGGATTGACCTCACCACCAGGGCAGAAATACATATTTTGCAAAACAAAACAAAAAAGAAAAACAAAATTAAAAACTGAGTCTCGCAGGCTGTCGAGCCAGATGTGAGCGGCTTTAAGAGGCAGAAGCGCTGATGTGCCGACCACGCAGCTTGGCCTGTTCTCAGACCAGCAGGTCGCTGGCTGCTGGCCGGATGGGGCTGGGACAGTCCGTGTCTGCGTGAGCAGGGCGGAGGGCTATCGAGCTTTAACAAATGAACTCCATCCAAGGAGTCAATATCACCCCAACGAACGGTGTTTCTCCTTAGTCACGGAGGACGGAAGGCACTTTTAATTAGAAATTAATTAACGAGCAGCTGCTCCTTCACACCCCACTGTAATCATTAGTCTCAATTACAAATGAGACCTATGAAGGGACACACGAGTGAGTCTTCAGTGAAGATGTAATCAACAGTTAAATTAGCCGGGCGCTGGCTGCAGCCGCCTGCTGCCCTGGCAGCTTTGTGCCCGGGTGGATGGATGCAGACCATGCAGGCCCTTCAGGCCAAGACAGCATGCCTGGCGCTCTGCACACTTCTTAGCTACCGAGATTTACAAGAGTCTCAGCGACACCTCTCACTAGTTCCAGCTCTGCACCAGGCAGAGTTTTAAAACCAACTGTCCTCACAGGAGAGCCCGTATTCTGATTGCAACATGATCTCAGGTGTGTGCGCCTCTTCCCAGAGTCCCAAACTCCCAGGATCGGTGGGGCCAGGTACTGAGGGGCTTTCCGGGTCTATCACCGGTTGACTGTGCCATTCTGGGCAGCTCGCTGTCCCTAGAGACGGCCCCTCCCCCCTCTCCACTCCAGGTCAGCCCACTGCTCAGCCTGGCTTCGCTTCATTTCCTCTCCCCTCCTCTTCTGGTAGCCCTCCGTGGCTTCCTTCCGCATCCCAAGGCTGAGACGCAGACTGCCAGAAGCCGCGCAGCTCGCTAGGAGAGCACATTTCCCAACTTGGTCCCGGAGCTTTTCCCCCCTAGGCTCCTTGACCTTAGGGAGCAGCAGGGGTGGGTACAGGGAAGGGAGTGTTGTGCGCCCAATCCTGGCACCCTTCGGCTGCTGCACACAACCTGGAGCTTAAGGAGCTCTGCGAGGCCCAGCGGCTTCTGAAGACTTCCTGCGCTAATCCGGGCCCTGAGATATTGCCCCGAGTTCAAAGTGGAGTCGAGTGGAGCCTGCAGGGCGCTTGGGGGTACCAGGCCACCCGAAATTCTCTGGCGGCCTTTCATGCCATGGTCTTCCCAGCGCCAGGCTCGCCCCTACTTCTTTTGGCTCGGCAGGCCAGCCTCTCGCGCTCCTCCGGTAGCAGAGCCGCGCGCATCGCAGAGCTGTGCAGACTTGCTCCTAAAGATTCCTGGGTTCAGACCTGTGAATCGCCCCAGGGCCACCCTCTAATTAATGATGACGTTCGCGCCCTCTCCCCAGCTGCAAGGCTGCCTCCCAGAAACGAAATCTGCCGGCCCTGACAGCTTGGTTGAAGGTGATGGATGACTATCTGGAGAAGGCAGTACACATCATATAATATCTGCTGCGTAATTGCTTTAATTTACAGATGAAAATACGAGTTCTCCGATCGCGCTGGACCGCAGCCGGCCGCGTCCGAACTGCTTGCAAAGGGGGAAACCATCGCAAATAATGAATAGCTGCCCCATGCAAATTCTGCAGACAGTTTAGCGTCGGTAGCCGGGAGAGATGCATATATAAAGAACACGAGTCGAATGACATTAATAATTGTTTTTGAATTCTGTATTGATTTCAGGGCAAGCTGTTTTTATTTCTTTCTCACCTGAATTGCTAATACCACCTTCCTGTAAATAATAAGAAACTAGCCACCGGGGCTTCTCCAGTAGAAATGAATCTCAGCCTCTCCCTCTTCCTGCTTCTTCCCCTCCCCCAACTCCCTTCTAGCCTCTTTCAGTTTGCAGGCTTTATTGAGGCTTTTGCTGAATACCCACCAACGTTCGTACTTATTGTTTACTAACAACTCGCTTTCTCTTCTATAGTGAGGTGCTGGCAAGGGAGGGGCTCTGTACAGGACCGAAGAGCCTGAGGGAGCAGGAATCCAGCCTGGATGGAGTTGCTCATGATTGGTCTTTTTGTCACTTCGTTCCTGAGGCCCGGCCTTGGGGACTGGTGTAAGCACAGGCCGATTGGGAAGGAGAAGGAAGACCAGACTGCTGCGTGTGTGTGTGTGTGTGTGTGTGTGTGTGTGTGCGCGCGCGCGCGCGGTGGGGGTTGGGGATTTCAGCTGGAGTGCACCCAGAAGAAGCACTCTCTGTTTCCTTTTCCGGACACACGAGGCTGGGGTTGGGAGGTTGTCCCCAGGACTTCCATTTATCTTCCAAGTGGACTCTGTACTGGGGTACTGTACTAAGCCGGAGCCCCTCAGGGCCTCTGGGGAAGGCTTTCCTGGGGTCCTCAATGCAACGTTTTGGTTTGCCTTCCAGTGAGAACTTCCAGGCCTCAAGTGGTGTTGTTTTCTCTAGTTATGCTCTCCCTGGACCTAGAAATCAGGAACACTGGACTCTACTCTCCCTGAAGATGCAGATTCATGCTCTACACCCTGCCTGCTCCATGCAGGGGCCAGTCAGGGACTCTACTGGCCTGTTCTGTCGTCACTCAGGCCCTACTGTCCAGGCCTGTCTCTGGCCAGTACCTACACTGGTACAATCTGCTACCTGGCGGAAGCTTTCCTGCCCGAGTGAGATGCTCCTTAGGACATCCTTGCTGAAGATATAGGGATGCCTTCCTCAAAGATCAAGCCTCAAGCAGAGGCACAGGCCTTTCCAAGAACAGACTGAAGTCCCAGAATCTCAGGAACACTCAGCTAAAATGAGCTTTCATAGATGGTCCATGCTGTGCCCAGAAACTCGCAGGGCCTCTAGATGTAAATACATCATTCAGAAGAATGGGCAGAGCCACTTGGCTCCCTGCAGGCTGGGAGAGGGCTTCAAAAAATCAGAGACTGAAGGCCTGATCAGACAGCAAAGGGGTGGAGCAGGGAGCAGTTAGCACCAAGATTAGGAGCCCAGGGACCACCAATATTTTCCGACGTTAATGATAGCCATAGAACTGGTCAGAGCTTCTTAGAAGACAGACCTGGCCTTGATGTTTCTGCCACCAGCGAAGCCCTGGCTCTCCAGAGTAATTCTTGGAGCACTTCTTAACCACACTGTGAGCTCCATGGGACCCTATTCCAGCCCAGAGAGGAGTTGGCTACAACCCAAAGCCATACAGAAGCCAGGTACCAGGAAAGGGCCTTTCTGTCTGAGATGCCCTCAGACAAAGCTCTCAGGCCAGAGCTTGGGGGTGCCTGGGTCCACTTTGGACACTCAGTGGTGTGGGATCAGAGAGATGCTTCAGGTGCTGCATGGCGCAGGCACCCTTTTCCCCCCTCCAGGACATCTTCCCATAGTCAACCATACTCCCCTCACCCAGACAGTGGGGTAAGTTGCTGGGAGATGCTTTGAAATTCTTAGTTGCTTCCCCAATGCCCTCCTTTCTGGCCCTCTCGGTCCTCAGCTACCCTACTGCACCCCCATGGAACATTCGGTCTGCTCTGCCCAAGGAAGGAAAGAGCGCACTCGGGGCTTCCAAGAACACAAGCTGTTCTATCCCGTGCAAGCCACCACGGTCCGCGGGGACCCGGGTATCTCGTACCCGGATGCAGAATCCTCTCCATCTGCTTCTCAAAACTTGCAGCAAATGCAGCAGCTTCCTAAGACCCTATCCGCTAGAAGCAAACTTTGTCCCCTCCAGCGCAAGAGCGATCCTTGCAAAGTTTGCTCAGCAGAGCTATTCCTTACCTGCGCTAGGAAAGAACCGGCCCGCGCAGCTCGGGCTCCAGGGCCTCCGGGAGCAGCGCGCAGCCCGGGACGCACCGGGGAGTCGCCGCAGCCGTCGTCGCCGCCGCCGCCGCCGCCCCGCGCCCCTCGGCGGCCGCGAGGAGCCTCTGCCTCCTCCGCCTTCTCGAAAGGGGGGGAGGGGTCTCTGAACCCCGGGGCGGGGGCAGGCAAGGGGACCTTGCCTACCTGCGGTGGCGCCGGGCCACTCCTGGCCGCCCGCTAGGGCTCTGCGCGGCCGCTGGGCGCGCGCGCTCCGGCGGGGAGCAAGCGACAACTAATGGAGACATTTCCAGGCGGAGCACCTGGAGAGCGGAGCGCGCCGGCGTCCCCAGGCGCCGCGGTCGTCAGCCGAGCCCGCACCGGCGTGACGTGGGCGAGCGAGCGAGCTGCTCCCACCCGGCCGCCCATTAACGCTTTCCCCCCGCGGGCGCCCAGCGCTTGCCAACTTTCCCCTCCGCCCTGGCCGCGCACCGGGTGCGCGGGTGTAGGGGCTGGGATGAGGGGGTTCCTGAGGGTGAGGGTTCAGGCTTGGCTTCCTCAGGATGGTTGGCTGAAAACGCCTGGGGCCTGAGAGGACAGCCCAACCCTACCAGGACAGCAGAGGACACCCGTCCCTGGTTTGGTCAAATGCTTGGCCTGCTGTGTGGATTCAGCCGCCTTGGGTTTGTGGGCCTGTCTTTAAATGGTTCCCTTTCCTCCTTCCTACTGTGTGGCTGGGAGATAGCTCCTCTCCTTTCAGGACAGAGAGTCTTCTTCCGAGACCATTTCTACCCTGTCCTGTACAATGCTATCCTTGAGAGCAGAACAGGCTCTCAAGCCTCCCCACCCCCTTTCCTGTCCCTTCCTCCACAGAACCTCCACAGTAAGGCAGCGGTTCTGGTGCTCTCCTGTATCCACAATAGTCCCAACCAACCTGACTCTTGGCTCTTTAGGCAGCAGGCCTTCCTCACAGA